CTCAAAGATACAGAGAGGCTTCTAGTGGGTGTGCTATATGTCTAGGCACTTAGCTTTTGATTTAAACAATAGAGCTAAGTACAGACAGTCAAAAAGGCCAAGGCTAAACAGATTTAATCTTTGCAGGTTAGTCTAAGCTGTGTAGATTGAACCGATAAGAATCACTTTTGATTCTGGAAATGCGGCCACATGCCGGCAGTGGTCCCGGCCAGAAGCTGGAAGATGCTAGAGCGCGCCTCTCTGCTCAGCTAGAGCAGACCACTTGGGCCAAGGCTACCCTGCAAAGAGGGAAAAGGGGGTTGTGGAGAAGATGCAAAGCATCCTGGGGTGCTGGGGGAACTATTCACCTGAATCTGGAGGGGATCTGGGACAGAAGGCGAATAAACCTATTTCACTTAAATCAGTTAAGTCTGATACTACATTTTGAAATGTAGTCTGAGCCATTTTGAAAGTGGTTTATGTGCATTGAACTTCTGTTGCATTACAGATTTGAACTGGTTTCCAATCACTTACACTGGTTTATCTGTTAATTTCTGTCCCTAGACTAGGAGACCTACAGACTTTGGAAAACCCTGCCTAAATACCTTTAAAACTTGCCCCTTTGTCTGGAGATTGTGGGATTTCAGAGCTTATGAGTTTTATAGGTGAACCACGCAGTGTGCATTCTGCAGAGCACACGTGTACATAGGATATGCCATTTACTTTGCTCCTATGGACTCCATATGGTTTCAGATCATCTTAAACAGCATATATTTTATCCTTGTCTCCTACACTGATGGACTTCTTGCCTCTCTACAGGCCTGCGTAAGTGAAGAGGAGTCCAAGGCTGGATAAACCTTGCACCCAAGAAGCAAAGGTGCTGCAAGACGCAACCCCCACCCCGGCCTGGAGCTGCAGCAGAGAAAACACCAGGATGGTGAAATCCATTCCATTTTTTATTTTGTTATATTTTTTTAGCACAACAAATGTACACACAAGAACCACCACTTGGTTTGTTTTTATTCTGTGAGCATCTTGATGAACCATTAGTACCATTGGCCTGGCCCTACATGGCCCACCGGTAGGGCAAGATTACAGGGCTGGCTGCAAAGAACAACCTCAGTGGAAACCCTTCACTCCAGCTTGAGAATCAAGAGTTGAACCGTAAGATGCTTTCTTCCACCTCAGATCTGTAACAAAGACAGTGCTGCGTACCGCACTGGTTCAGGCTGCCATGGTTGTGTAGTTTACTTTGTTTTTTTAATGGACCAAAAGCCCTAAACACCATCTGATCTCCTCCTTGCCTTTGAGAGATGGTGAAGGGGATATTTACTTTGAAGAAATGTTGGGGCATTTGTTTTAGCAGTTAAAGAAGGGTTTGCGTGCTTCCCCTGCCTGCCCGTTCATGCCTGCCTCCTGCCATTGCCCCTTACCATCTATGGCCTTGCTCACATGACGCATTTCCTCCGATTTCAGCAACCCGTGCAGATGGGCCACTAGGAGCTCTTTGCCCAAGTATGCAAAGCCCCTGGTTGCTCTTAGTGTAATTTAGCCCAGTCTGAACCGTGAGCAAGCCCACCCGGGGAAGCAGCAGCTGATATCATCATCCCCAGGACGCTGACCCTGGTGCAGCTATAGTCACAGCTGGCAGACTGCAGCCAGCACTGGGGAAGGCTCAGTCCATGTGCTACAGCTGTGTAGGGCCAGCTTCATCCACACAGCAGCCACATTTACTCCAGGAATGTCCCGACCCAAGGGGTCCCGACAGACATTGGTGGAGGAAGGAACAAGAGGGGAAGGAAAGAAAGAGGGAGCACATGAGTGTAATGAAATGGCATTGTGGGCCACAGCAATTCATTTGAAAACAATAAATAAAATAACTTGAGAAAGGAATGATGTACTTGTTGCTAGCTACCTTACTTCAACACACAAATATCAAGCTCTGGAAAAATACCCCCATTTGGACCCAAGCACTATGCACCTACAAACCTGCCTTTCTCTGCAGCTTCGCTCTCCCTTATGTTGCAGGAGCAATGGTACGTGTCATGATCTTGCTCAATTCAGCCAAAATAATCATTTTTATTTATTTTATTAAGAAAGGGGGAGAAAAAAAGTTGGAAGGAGCCAAGGTGATGCTTTGATGGGGGTGGAAGAATTATTCAACTGAGCTAAAAACAAAATAGTAGGGGTACAGATCCACTGGCAAGGAGCTATAGGGAAGCTTTAAGCAACGGGTAGTCACCTAGGAGTCTCCTGAGGAGGAAAGAATGAGTTTGTTCAAAGGCTGATTATTACTGGAAGCGTATGAAGTGTTTCTACCCAACACCCACTTCCAGCTACCTGTTGCATTTCAGAGCCACAAAGACCAGCCCCATCTTTCCTCTCTTGTATCCATAGAAAGTACAACCCCGATTAAAAAAGATGTAATTTCTTCTCGCCCCATCCTTCAAGAGCAGGTTCTACAAAAAAGGGGGAATCTGTGTCACACTGAACAACAGCTCAAACGAGAACCACCACTTTACTTGCATTTATGCCATTTGTCTCTTTTTGTCACCTTTGTCTAAAATCAGACTTGCTTTTAAAGACATGCCAGCCACCACATGGGTCTGTTTTATCGCTCCCATTCACAGCAAAATGAAAGCCCTTGTATGGTGCAGTTACAGTGCAGCAGTTTGGGTGTGTAGGCTGGAGCTATCAATCTTTCGGCGCTTTCTCCACCTTCTCTTCCTTTGTCCGCTTTTCTGAGTCATGCTAATTCCCAGAATTGCTCGAGCAGTAAAAGGCTCCTTGAAAGTACTCCCCCCCCAACTGAAATTCAATTTGTAGCATGAAAGGCTTTTTCTTTTATGTATAATTAGCCTTATCCTCTCACTTGAGCAGAAAATACTGTCTTATTGAAAGACGAAAGAATAACACTAGAATTTCTTTTAGCCCTACAGCCTTCTTTCTTGAGCGCGGCCAATGGAAGTGGAAACCATTTTGTTACCTCTTGTTCATCAGAGAAGAACTGAAAACAGATCATCTATTAGGGGAAGGGGAAGGGGTGTCAATGTTACTTTTAAACAGCCGGCATGTTGCATCTGTCCTGCACATCAGCTCGGGGGGGGGGGGGGGGGAAAAAAAAAAGTCCCAAAAAAATTTTTTTCCACAAAAACTTACCAAACCCAAAAAAAA